GTTTGCTCTTGATTATTTAGTTCTTTTAGTTGTGATGTCAGGTTGTTAACTGATCTTTCTCACTTTGAGATGTGGGCCTGTAATGATATAAATTTCCCCCTTAACACTGTCTTACCTGTGTCCCACAGATTCCAGTACATTGCATCTTTGTTCTCATTAGTTTCAAAGAACTTCTTGATTTCGCCTTAATTTCATTATTTACTCAAAAGTCCTTTAGGAGCAGGTTATTCAATTTCCATGTAATTATATGGTTTTGAGTGAATTTCTTACTCTTTATTTCTAATTTAATTGTGCTGTGGTCCAACAGATTGTTATGATTTCAGTTCTTTTGCATTTGCTGAGGAGTGTTTTACTTCCAATTATATGATCGATTTTAGTGTTTGTGCCATGTGGCATTGAGAAGAATGTGTATCCTGTTGTTTTTGGGTGGAGAGTTCTGTAGATATCTATCAGGTCATTTGCTCTAGAGCTGATTTTGGGTCCTGAATATCTTAGTCAATTTTATGTTTCGATGATCTGTCTAATATTGTCAGTGGGATATTAACATTTCCCACTATTATTGTGTGGGTATCTAAGTCTCTTTGACAGTCTCTCATAACTTGCTTTATGAATATGGGTGCTCCTGTTTTGGGTGCATATATATTTAGGATACTTACATCTTTGTAATGCCCTTCTTTGTCTTTTTGATCTTTCTTGATTAAAGTCTGTTTTTGTCAGAAACTAGGATTGCAACCCATGCTTTTTTGTTTTTTTTCATTTGCTTGGTCGATTTTTCTCCATCCCTTTATTTTGAGCCTATGTGTGTCTTTGCATGTGAGACTGGGTCTTTTGAAGACAGCATACCAATGGGTCGTCTTGGTCCTTTATCCACCTTGCCATTCTGTGTGTTTTACTTGAGGCATTTAACCCATTTACATTTAAGGTTAGTATTGATAAGTGTGAATTTTATCTGTCATCATGATGCTAGCTGGTTATTTTGCAGACTTGTTTATGTGGTTACTTTATACTGTCACTGGTCTGTGTACTTCAGTGTGTCTTCGTATTGGCTGGTATTGGTCTTCCCTTTCCATATTTTGTGCTTCCTTCAAAAACTCTTGTAAAACATGCCTGATGGAAAAAAATTCCCTCAGCATTTGCTTCTCTGAAAAGGATCTTATTTCTCCTTAGCTTATAAAGCTTACTTTGGCTGCACATGAAATTTTTGGTTGGAATTTCTTTTTTTAAAGAATGTTGAATACTGGCCCTCCAATCTTTCTGTATTGTCGGGTTTCAGCTGAGAAACTGAAAGTTTCCCATTGTTATTCTGATGGGCTTCACTTTGTAGGCAACCTGAACTTTCTCTCTAGCTGCCTTTAACATTTTGTTTTTTTCATTTTAACCTTGGAGAATCTGATGATTATGTGTCCTAGGGATGATCTTCTTGTGAAGTATCTTACTGGGGTTCTCTGCACTTCCTGAATTTTATTGTTGGCCTCTCTAGTCATGTTGGGGAAGTTTTCATGGAAAACGTCCTGAAATATGTTTTCCAAATTGTTTCCATTCTCCCCATCTCTTTCAGGAACATCATCAGTCATAGATTCAGTCTCTCTACATAATCCCATATTTCTTGGAGGTTTTGTTTATTCCTTTTCATTCCTTTTTCTCTGTTCTTTTCTGCCTGTCTTATTTCAAAAAGTCAGTCTTCAAGCTCTGAGAGTCTTTCCTCTGCTTGGTCTATTCTTCTATTAATACTCATGATTGTATAATGACATTCCTGTAGTATGTTTTTCAGGTCTATCAGGTCAGTTGTTTTTTTTTTTTTTTTTTTTTTTATTTTTTTTTTTGTTTTTTTTTTTTTTTTTTTTTTTTTTCTATACTGTCTATTTTGTCTGTCAGCTCCTGCATTGTTTTATCATGATTCTTAGCTTCCTTGCATTGGGTTTCAATGCATTCCTGTAGCTCAATGATCTTCACTTCATATCCATATTCTGAATTCTATTTTTGTCATTTCAACCGTCTCAGCCCAGTTCTGAGCCCATGCTGGAGAGGTGATGTGGTCATTTGGAGGACAAAAGGCTCTCTGGCTTTCTGAGTTTTCAGTGTTCTTGTGCTGATTCTTTGTCATCTTTCTGGACTTATCTACCTTCAATCTTTGAGGTTGCTGACATTTGAATGTTTTTTTTTCTTTTATCCTATGTGATGACCTTGAGGGTTTGATTGTGGTATAAGGTGGATTCAGCAGACTGACTTTGTTTCTGGGAGACTTTAAGGGTCCAGTGTTTAGCTCCCAACTCCTGGACTGTGTGCTGTAACTCTGGAGGACTTGTACGGGACTCTGACTTTGTTCTCTGGCTCCTAGAGGTTTGGAGTCCACTGCACTGGGTGGGGCTGAGGTGCAGCCGCTGCAGCTGAGTGCTAGTGGATAAAGGGGTGTCTGCCTTCTTGCAGGCATTCACCACAATGGTGGTGGCGACACAGCTGGTGAGGGGTTGGGGTGAGGCCCTCCTGGAGACCGTATGTGCTGTTGCACTGGAGGTGGTGTTGGCTTGGGGGCAGAGTACTGGCCAGCACAGGTCTGGGTGCCTTCTCTGTGCCCAGCAAGCAGGCATGATCATTCAGGGTGTGGGAGGATCCACTGTGTTCTGCACAGTGTTGGTGCAAGGGTGAGGTGCTGGCCAGCGCAGGGCTTGCTGGCTCTGTGCCAGTCAAGGGTCCATCTGCAATGGCAGTCAGTGAAGGGAGTGTGGGCATGGAATGCACTCCCACATGCTGGTGGGGCAAGTAAAGCAAAACCTGACCGTGCAGCCAGCAAAGTGGTGTGGGGAGTTGCTGAGGACCTGGGGAAAGCTGCAATATGGGGAGGGAGCATGTGGTCTGGTGCATGGCTATAGGGGCCACCTCACTGGAGCTCACTACCAGTCAGACACATTCCCCACAGCGCAGAAGCTATGTTGTGAATATCCAGGACACCCAAGACTGCCCTGCAAGCAGGTGTGCCAGGCTGGGGCCCCAGTAAAGGCCAGCAGACCAAAGGGTACTCAGGTCAGACCGAGCCTATCTGGTGCGCAAGACTGCTCTGCAGAGATCAGGTCAGGCCATTCCCCTAGAGCTAAAGTCTCTTATGGGAGCAAATTAAGGCTAGGGAGATGGGCCGTCATTGGCGGTCCTTCATTGTGGACGCTCCAGCACCATATCCCCTGGGCTCCACATCAGCTGGCTTGCTGCCCCACCACTTCTCTAAGCATCATTCCCTGCCATGTCATGTGTCTGCCATGGTTGAGGCGTTCCCTCCTGCCCAGGTTCCAGAGGCCCATGGAAGGAGTGGGTTGCTCCTTGCCAGTTCAACTCACCCATTCCCGGGAGCTGCTGTGGTTCAAAAATGAGTCCAGGTGTACCATAGCCCGGGCAGCATTCCCATCTTTCTCCTCCTTCAGCACTGGTTCTGTGTCTTCCCTCCATCCACTCTAGGTGTCTCTTCTCTGAAGAGCTGTCAAAAGCCTGCCAGCTGTCTCAGTCCCCCTGTGAGAGATGTTCCATTTGTCTGCCTCTGGTCGGCCCTCTTGCCATCTCTTTCTGAAATCCTGATGCTGTTTCTGTGACCAGAAATATGACCTAGGAACTTAACTCTTGTTTAGGTAAGTTACCTTACAGTAAAACTGGTTTTGTTATATGTCATCTCCCTTAGAATCAAAGCTTCCAAGAACCATTGACCGCATGAAGTGAGATCTTACTTCTACACATATTGAGCCTTCAAAAATCTTTTATTTTTATTCAATTTCTGAAGATACTGGAGGGATAATTATTGAGAGGGAGGTAAAGAGTAGTCTGTTAGCCAGATCCTCACCTTTCATACCACAGAGTAAATATATAATATCCAAAATCAGTACATCAAGAAATAACAGCATTGCTGAAAATTCAGAGTAGAGAAACACGTTGAAAACACCACAAAGATAAAAGCCCCCAAATCTAGAATGTGGGAACTTTCATGGCACAAATGACCTACTTAATTTTTGTAAATGACATGGGAATATGGCAGACGGGCAGTTTTATAGATTAGAAATTTAAGAAACAAATAAACATAATGCAATATGCTGGTTTTGTTTGGATCCTAATTCAAATAAAGAAAAGATAATTTGTGAGCAGTTGGGGAAATTAAAACACAGGTTGGGTACTGAATGCTAGTAAATAATCGTGAAAAAGATATTAGAATGATGTTTTCAAAATGTTCCTCATATACTCGAGACATATACTGAAGATTTCAGTGAAAAGATATGATGTCAGAGATTTGCTTTAAAACACTCCAAGTTGAGCCATACAAAAAAACTGTACTCATGAAGGATCACAGACCTAAATGTAAATATCTAAAACTATGGCTGGGCTCAGCGGCTCACACCTGTAATCCCAGCAGTTTGGGAGGCCTAGGCAGGTGGATCACTTGAGGTCAAGAGTTTGAGACCAGCCTGGCCAACATAGTGAAACCTCCCCGTCTCCACTAAAAATCCAAATAAGCCAGGCATGGTGGTGCGCACCTATAATCTCACCTACTTGGGAGGCAGAGGCAGGAAAATCGCTTGAATCCAGTGGGTGGAGGTTGCAATGAGCCGAGATTATGCCACTTCACTCCAAACTGGGTGAAAAAAACTGCGACAAAAAAAAAAAAAAAAAGGAGACAAGGTACCTGCCTCAGGAAATTTACAAGTCTAGTTGACTTGAAGAGGAGACTGACATTTGACTGTTAATTATGACTAAGACTCATAATTAACAAATGTTTCAATAACAACAAAAAACCACTGTATATGTAAAATCTCAAATTCTGTTTATTTTTTTTTCCCAATAAACACTTTATTGACAGAATTAATGAAGGCCCAAGACTTTAGGGCCGGTGGGGGCAGGGCGTTGGTGGTTTGGGGCAGAGGGGTGGTGGTTTTGGGGCGGGGGAGAGGTTTGGGGCTGGGGGTTTTGTGGCCAGGTGGGTGGATGAGCAGACGTGCCGGGTCCCAGGAGTCTGGCGTCGTCAGCAGCTAGTTCGGGCCGGGAGCCACTTGAGAGATGGTTGTTGTATGAAAGAGGGTGCTCAGCAGCCCGTTATTATGAACCGCCATGTCCAACAGCCGCGGAGTGATGATCCTCTCACCGTTGTTTTGGGCCTCCTTGACCGCCAGCTCCAGGATCTTGGTCGTCAGATACTCAATCACCGCAGCGAGGTAGACTGGCGCGTTGTGACTCAGGCACTGGGCGTAGTGGCTTTCCCGTAGACTGCGCTCCATGTGGCCAACCGAAAATAGAAGTTCCGCTCGGGCGGTGCGAGAGCGGGTATGCCCCCGGCGGCGGGCACCAGAGGACCCTCTGCGGCTCCTCCTCTCCGACATGCTGGCTATTGGGTGCCCTATCTCAGCTCGGCTTGCTCTAGCACAAGATGCCTCTCAAGATGACCGTTACGGAGTCCGGTACTGTGTATCCTAGCGACCAGGGCCAAGCCTCTCATTGGCTGGGGAGCCGAGTCCAATGGGCACGCACATCCTCGTGCCACCACATCATCACGTGGTAACGGCCTAGCACGCACGTGATGACAGCCTCACCAGGGACACGCCCATCAGGTGACCTCATCGATTTCCCTTTAACTGCCAGTAAGAGCTATGCTCTCTGGTGCCCCCATTAATAGAAAAGCAAACCAGCCCTACCTTCCATGGCTTTTCACGGTTGAAGAAATGTTACCATAAAATAATGAGATGGTTTCACAAAATACACACCATGAAAAATACAAACATTGCGTCCATTTTTCAAATATCACTGAAAAAATATTTCTTCCTCACTTTTAAAAAAGTCTAAATGCCTTTTCAAATAGTGTCTACTTTGTGTACCTTGTTCTTGAATTTCAAATGCACTCCTAACATAATTTAACAATGAATAATAATTCAGGAGTCAATTCTGATACTGTTATAGAGGAAACTGCTTAAGCTCTAAAACAAATAAACAGCAAGAGGTATTTGAGAGGTCAATAAAAAGTTCTTATATTTCAGATCTTTCCGATTTTTCTCATCCATATTCTCTAACTGAAAAAGATCTTGTGTCTGCCAGTTGGTGGCCTGCCCTTAGACCAGGTTTAATTAATTAGCAGTCTTCTCCAGCTGTCATCTGGCCTTATTTGCCTAGACACTAGCCACAGCTCAGTACATTACTGAAGCTGAGATTCAAACCATGACCTTTTTGGTCCACCAAGCCACAGTGACTCAACAGCCAATCAGATCTACCTTCTCTCTCCACTGTGCCGCAAACCTCATCACCCCTGAAAATGGACGGCAAGTTTAACTTTCCGTATGTAGACCTGTGTTTCTCAAAGTGTGGATTCCAGACAAGTGTCTTGCACATGACTGTGGTGTTTGTAAGAATGCAGATTCCAGGGCACTGTTCTTAGAGATTCTGATAGACTAGATATGGATGAGGCCTGATAATATGCATTTTCAAATGTTGCACTCTGTGATTTTCCTTGAGACTCATTGATTGACGGTGCAAATACAATTAGGGAATAAGGCCTATAGGACCCAACTTCATGTCCTAAAGGGTCAAGATGGAAATAGTTCAATTTGCTGCTAACAATGTGAAAAGAATCACTTAGGAAACTTGTTAAATATACACATTCCTAGGTCCTAACCCCAAACTAAAGGAATCATAATCATAAGGAGGGCCTGAGCATCTGTATGTTTAACAGCCTCCCTTAGGTCATTCTGATATATTTTAACAGTTGAGAGCCTTTGTACCAGATCGATTACTTCAGGGTATCCAGCAATTGGCAGAGTTCTTGGTAACTTGCTGAGGACTTAGGAACCTATTCCACATTCTTGGAGTGTACCTATTTTTTTTTTTTTTTTTTTTTGAGACGGAGTTTCGCTCTTGTTACCCAGGCTGGAGTGCAATGGCGCGATCTCAGCTCACCACAACCTCCGCCTCCTGGGTTCAAGCAATTCTCCTGCCTCAGCCTCCTGAGTAGCTGGGATTACAGGCACGCACCACCATGCCCAGCTAATTTTTTGTAGTTTTTTAGTAGAGACGGGGTTTCACCGTGTTGACCAGGATGGTCTCGATCTCTTGACCTCGTGATCCACCCGCCTCGGCCTCCCAAAGTGCTGGGATTACAGGCTTGAGCCACCGTGCCCGGCCTGGAGTGTACCTATTTTAAATGACAAAGATACATACATTTTTGTGATGCTTAGGGGATACTTTACATTGAATGTAGTTGGCTTAAACACCCTGCAGGCTTCGGAGATGGAGGAAAGCAAAAGATACTTTGGTGGGAAGTAGGTAATAACAGGTCCTGAGATAGCCAAACGTTTATGACCTCACTCCCTGTATACCTAAAGCAACCCACCCCACTCCACCAATCTCCCCACCCCATCATGAAGGGCTGAAGGTGGTTAGAGTCCTGCAAGAAGAAGCCAGTGCCCACGTGGAGACAGTAGGATTTTGTCTTAGCCATTTTTACTACTCCTATTGGTTGTCCACAGATCAGCAGAATACCACTTCCCTAGCTCCAGGAGCAAAGTAGGACAGCGTAGATAGACACAGAGTCATGTCACATTGCCACATATGTTCTCACACTATCTGTTATTACTCGGTGCTCAATGGTCGGAGTAATGCATCTAGGCAGGCAGGTACCATGCTCTCCTGGAAAAAGAGAACACCTTTGAATCATCCTACTGTCTATATTCTATGACTATCTACTAATTCCCTCTCTCTTTTCCTTCTGGGTCCGGAAGGGTGCCTTAGCCATTGAGGTGACAGTCAAGTAGAAGAATGAAACTAATTTGAATCTACTACCAAGAGTTATGATATCTTAACATGATTCCAGAGTATAACAAAAAAGGACCTCATGGCTAAAGGAGGTATATGGGAACTCTTCCCAAAGAGCCTATTTCAGTCATTCTCCTGGAACACATCATAATCCACCTCTAGGCTTTTCTAAATGATTCACTTGCATCCTTAACACTACATGTCAAAAGCTAAACCTATCTCCTCCAAACTAATTTCTGTTAATGACATTACCATCCTCCCAATTACTCGGGCTAGAAACCTAGAGGCTATCTTCAGTTCCTTAGTTAACCTCATCCTCTACCTCCAATTAAGACTTTAAACCACTACTGGCTGGGGAACAGTGACTCATGCCTGTAATCCCAGCACTTTGGGAGGCCAAGGCAGGTGGATCACCTGAGGTCAGGAGTTCAAAACCAGGCTGGTGAACATGGCGAAACCCCGTCTGTACTAAAGATAAGAAAAATAGCCAGGTGTGGTGGCACATGCCTGTAATCCCAACTACTTGGGAGGTAGAAGTGGGAGAATTACTTGAACCCGGGAGGCAGAGGCTGCAGTGGGCCGAGATCGTACCACTGCACTCCAGCCTGGGCAACAAGAACAAAAGTCTGTCTCAACAACAACCACCAAAACACTTTATACCATTACTGATCCAACCAAATAATGATGAAGACACTAGGGAAAAGAAAGTAAAGAACAGGTAGGAAGAATGATCAGGAGACATTTGATAGAATTTAACTTCCAGAACATACAATAGCAACAGTCTCCTTCATGTCTCCACTTACACCTTCCAGGACCTCTTCTCCTAATTCTTCCCTCCCACAGGCTTGTAACTCCCCTGTCCAAAAACCTTTGTTTTCTCCTTAATCTTACCTTCAACTCCTCCTCATGCACCCAAAATGATTTTTTAGCTTTTTCCCACTCTTTCCCTACTTATAACCTAAACTTAAGCCAAATTATACCATTCCTTCTGTCCTGAACATGCCCCTTGTTTTCCTTGCTCAAGGTTTGTACTAATGCTCTTCCTGTTATTTGAAAATTCCTTCCCCCTCCATCTGTTAAATCTGTACTCATGCCTCTGGGTCTAGCACCAATGCTGTAATACCTCCTTCATCCTTCAACTGAATGTATTATTTCCTTCTCAGGACTAAAAAGGGCCTCACATTTTAAAGCTGCTTCTTGCATTCTGCCTTATCACACTTCTATTCCCCCATCTAGGGGATGGAAGGCTTGTATTTCCACATGATACCTAGCAGTGGCTTTCCTACAGCAATTACTTTAAAATTGTTTGGAATGAATGAATTTCCCCTTTCCTCAATTGCTAGGGAAATTCCCTACGTGAAACCTACTTGTATTAGTAACAAGAAAAGCTTTCATCCTAGCACATATCTTGGTTTCTTTCTCTGTGCCTGTGCCTATCTCTATGCCTCTGTCTGTTTTCTCCATCATTGTCTTTGTCTCCTTAACTCCTTCAGTCTCTATCTGGCACTGTCGATCTGTCTTGTAGCGTCTTTTCCAGTGTTTTCCTTGTTGCTGTAGGTATGTCTTTAACTTTATCCCTGCTTTCTCTTCTGTCTGTCCATTTCTGTTTCTCTGATACCTACTCCCTTCTAACCTGGAAGTCAAACTCTGAAGCCCTTTTAAAGCCCTGCTTAAACTGAAACTTATAGGAGAGTGTTCTTGGGTCTTTTCAAGTTGGAACTCAAAGAGAAGGCTAAAGTCTGAAAACCTTGTAACTGATGAAAATCAACATTTCAGGGACAGGTGACTTCCAGTGCCTTTGGTAGAGGATATGAATTGGAATCTTCAGACACTCTGAATGCTTAATTTACATGATAAGGCATAAATATATAAAAAGTGACCCACAACAGCTAATCACAATAACAATGCTAATTTCTCTAACTCTGGCTTCAAAGATAAGGACGTATTGGAGAGCAAACAAAAAGTTCTTAAAAATCATTGACCATTTTAGCACCTTGCCCAGGAGACTCTAAGGATTCATATATAAGTATAAATGAATTGAAGCTAAACACACTTAATAATAATGCCAACAATTTTTTCGGTGCTTAGTGTGAGACAAATGTCTTACATATATTAACTTATTTAATCCCAATGCAACATTTTGGGAGGAGGAAAACTGAGGTTGAGGGTAGCTAATTAATTCCATGGTCAGCCATCTCCAGGAAGGGGAGCTAGGATTTGAATTCAGGTGTAGTCTGATTCCAAACCCTGGGCTCCTGATCACTCCAGCACTTCTCAAACTTGTCAGCTCTTAGGAATCCCTTGGATGCTCATTAAACCTTCAGATTCCTGAGCCCTATCCTAAACCTACAAAATCCCAGGGGACAGATTTGGGAGTCCAGTGTTTAACAAATGACCCAAGTGATTCTATGTGTCAGAACTGTTTGAGAACCAGTGCACTAAATAGCTTCCTTAACCATGATATAAAGGAAGGGAGAGTTAGATTTTTCCTGGTAGTTACTAGCATTACTTGACCCAGCTTCTTCCATTCAGTCCTTTGCTAGCCTCTCCTTTACAGAGAATCAAAATCAGCCTTAGATTCTTTGTTTAATCTATTGTT